AAATTAAAAAAGAAAGCCAAAGGGTCTCCTTGGTAGCATAGAAGGCAGCTCTTATCACCTGTAGCTAAAGGGCAGAGAAAGCTGAGGGCCACACCCAGGACTTGCTCATGAGTAACAGACAAAGAAGGGCAAACTCTCAATCTGGGGAGTCCTGCTATGCCAAGGTCAGTGTGCTGGTGAGGAAACAATGGGGCCTGACACATAGGGTGGGGATATCTAGGTGGATGTATCCCCAAATCCTGAACCCCTAGTTTTCCCTGTACCCTCTAACTCTGCTTAATTGACCCACCTCCTCCCTATTAAGAGCTAACTCTCCACCCTTGCTTAAAGACCATGCTGAGGCCACTTTCCTGCAAAGTTCACGTGACCCCCTCTATACCTTCCCCACCTTCTAGCCTGGCCAAGTGGGCCAATAGTTAGGGTTAAGTCACAATGTGACCCAGCTGGGCATGTGCTAGCAAAATAAGGAGGAAGGGCACTATGCCCCAAGGAGGAGCAGGACCTAGTCCACATGGACCATGTGGAGCTGGGAAAGTCCTAGTGGGACTGGATTCTGCCAAGGGCTGGGCAAAGCAAAGTTAGAAAATGGAGTTTATTGATTTGGGAGCACTAACCTGGGATATAGGATTTACCATCCTGAAAAGGACCCCAGGGGATGGTGGAAACCTGCAGCTCGGATGGCATCTAGAAACGTGGGAACAGTATGGACCAAACTAAGCAGGGCAAAAAGACTTAAATTGCCACAGCAGATGCTGGAAGAAGGAATTAAAAGTTTCAGCCATGTGGATGTACTCACTTAAATAATGCCTCGTAAGGCCAGAAAAGCTGCCAGAGGACAATGCTCCATGAAGGTCCCAGAGGATAGGCCTTTTAGCCATGCTGCAAAGAGCAAGGCATGGAAAGGCACCGGCATCATTAGGCGTGTCAGGGTGGCTCTCTTCTGGGGACCAAGGCAGGCTCAGGAGATGCCTTTGCACAGTAGGGCTCACAGGTAACGATGGGAATGAGAGGTCCCTGACCCACTGAGGCCAGGTGGCAGCCTGAGCCAGGTGGGTACAATCATCACGTGGATGGAAGACAGCATCGGCCAAGTGTATCTGAGCTTCTTTGGGAGCAAACTTCTTTTTTAACACACTGACTGCCACACTAGAAAAAAATTTTTTTTCCCTGAGGCCACGGTGTTTTATTAAAACAGAACGACCCTTCTAATTTTCTGTTTTTTATTGTTTTCTGTGCGTGAGTCATATGCAATGCAATCCATGTTTTTAGAATTAAATTGTCACTATTAATTGTAACAATAAGAACGTCAACAAGATTTTCATGAACCAACCGTAGGGTTTTGCTTCACGACGCACCAGGCTCAAAACTAGCCTGAGTTTAAATACAACTCATATGGCAGTCAGTGTGTTAAAAAGGAGTGAGACCCTTTTACAACGTAATATCTTAGAAATACATATTGTAAGACACACAGGTATAGAGCTGTTCTGGTTGAAAGGGAGAGAGACTGGGTGTCTGGGAGAGGGCCCCTGGGGCTGACAGCACGAGGGTTCTGCTCAAGGCATGAATGATATTATACAATAATGAGCCCTTACCCAGATCCTTTAGGGAATGCCAGAAATCCTCCTGCCTTCAGTGTTTACTTCCCTCCAGATACCTGGACAGGTGGAAGGCGGCCTTTCACAGCTCAGAGGGGAGCC